ACAGAAAAAAATAATTTTTCACTTTAATTGCTTTTGTGAAACTGGCTTTTAAGGTATTTCATCTCAGTCTATATGCATCCATTTTGAAATTGCCACCAACTATAAGATAAAGTTCCTAGGGCAAAGTCACTATAGATCCGGATCATTGTTGCCGCCGGGGACCTTCTTCATGGACATAACACTTTCGTTAGTTTATTTAAGGCGGCAAACGACCATCAAACCATAATCTTAGCCGATGAATTTGCCAATGGAAATCGTGGACTGTTTGAGAAAATGTTGGACCAAAAAGATTAAATTAAAAATCTAATTATGGGCGGGACGGAGTTCGCCGGGTCGGCTAGTATGGTATATAAGCAATACCGTCACATTTCGACAGCTTGCAAATTTGTTTGGACTTGGCTTGGGCTGTTGTTAAAAGTGTGTCAGGTTGGCTTATAACAATTGGCCACGAATATATAAAGTGGCCGCAAGGTACTGCAGCAGAGGATGCAATGCGAAAATTTGAGGCAAAGAGTGATTTTCCGGGAGTAATCGGTGCCATAGACTGCACTCACATTCGTATTAAAACTCCAGAAGAAAATAAAGAAAATTACTTTGATAGAAAGCACACCTATAACCTAGTTCTTCAAGCAGTAGTGGATGCGGATAAAAGATTCACCGATGTAGCTTGTGGTGAGCCTGGTTCACTTCATGACAGTAGAGTTCTTCGTAGGTCAAATCTTTTTGCTACAGCCCAATCTGAACCTGAAAGTTTATTTCCGAACGACTCCTACATTTTGGGTGATTCGGCTTACCACGCTACAATTTGGTTGGTACCACCATTTAAGGACTACGGCAATTTGAGTGAATCGCAAAGAAACTTCAACAAATTACACTCTTCTACTCGAATAGTTGTGGAAAACGCTTACGGCGTGGAATCTTTTCTTCTCCTCTAACTTCCTTTCTTTTAATTTAAGTTTTCCCTCGTAATATCTCTCTCGAGCTGTTTTCCTGCGGCGTTTTGATGTTACCGGTTGAGGCGATTCTTCTTCTTCTTGGGATGGTGGTTGTTGAGATGATTCGGGATGTAGGGATGTAGGTGGGGACGGCGATACAGCCGGTTGTGGGGATATTGGTTGCGGACGTAGTTCTGTGTCATCCCCATACAGGTGTGCTGATGCTGATGGACTTGGGACTGGTGCTAGCAGGAGGGATCTTAATGGCTGTGCTGTTGGACGGTGGGGTAGTGCTGGTTGTGGGGATCTTGATGCCTGTGAAAGTGCTGTTGGACGGTGGGGCAGTGTTGGCTGTGAAGATGCTTTTGGACGGTGGGGTAGTGCGGGCTGTGATAATTCTGTTGGAGGGTGAGGTAGTGATGGTTGTGGGGATCTTGCTAGCTGTGAAAGTTCTGTCGGACGTGGGGGTGGTGCTGGTTGTGTGGAATCTGCTAGTTGAGGTGGTGGTGGCGTTCCAAGTGCTTGTGCTCGGAAACGACTCACATTAAGCGTGTGGTTATTGGAAAGCAGCGCACTGTTTCCGAAAATCTCCTCCATCTCATCCGTGTACGGAGCAATGCAGGGTGCAGCACTGGTTCTGCTTGCGTTGTCTTTTGCACAGTTGTATGCAGACAACAGAGTGCGCATCTTTCCTTATAAGGCTACTGGGGCCGTCGATGGATCCTAGATTATTTTTTTTGTTTACATTTGTACAATCGAAAATTGCACTTCAAACATACGGTAAACTATGTATTTTGGAACGAATTTCCGTCATCCCTTTTCAAATTTGGTTTGCAGACAAACCGGTTTCGGCGTTGTGCCATCTTCAGTGTCATTTTTCGTCCTGCATAATTTTTGTTGGTTGCTCGTATTTATACTCCTTATTAACTACCTCTTTCTTTTGTTAGGTACGTCTTTTTAGTTTTGCAGTGTTTGCGGTGCTCAATAGGTATATTCAATCTGTGTCCTTTATGTTGTACACGGAGAAGTTCTGTTGTTTGTCCAATCTTCATTGGTGAGCATTTATTTTTGATCATGTGATTCGCGAAGTTCGATTCTATTGCAGCCTCTGGTTTTCGTTTTTTCTTATTATAATCCCTTATGTGTTCTCGATACCTTGTTCTTATATTTCGCCCTGTTTGTCCTATGTAGCTGTGTCGGCACTCGCAGGTTAACTTGTAAACACCCTGTTTATCTAGCGGGTCTTCCTCGCTTATTTTCTCTTTCAATATACTTCCCACTATCCCTTGTTTTAAATGATGTTTGAATGTCGTACTTATGAAAGAATTTGGAAAGTTTATAAGATGACTTTCCTGTGTTAGTTAGAACTGCGCAAGTTTTTTTTTTTTGTTTTCCTCTTTGCTAGTCTTTTTCGATTTTGTGTCCTTTCTTAACTTCTCAACCAGGCCTCCCCTATATCCGTTATTTTCCGCAATGGCATATATTGTATCCAGTTCCTTCTTGTAGTCTTCTTCAGTTAGAGGGGTCCTTTCAAGCCTCGTTATTAGTTGTCTAAGTGCTGCATTTTTGTGTTGCTGTGGGTGGTTTGAGCTATTGGGTATTATTGTATCTGTGGCTGTTGGTTTTCTGTATATTTCGTACTTTATCTTGTTCGTGGTATCGTTTATTGTAATTGTTAAATCCAGATAGTTAATCTTTCTTTCCTCTTCCGCTTCCATGGTGAATTTTATATTCTGGTGTTGTTTTCTGAGATAGCCTAGTATCTGTTTCTCTTTGTTTCCCTCTATTAGACATATTACATCATCGACATATCTCGCGTAGAATTTTACTCCTAGGTTAGTCGATAGGTTTTCCATGTATTTCTCCTCCAGTGTTTGCATGAATACTTCCATGAGTATTGCTGACGTCGGATTGCCCATTCCTAACCCGTTAATCTGTTTATATATCTTATTATTGAACCGGAAGTAGTTTTGTTTTAATGTAACCTTCAACGCGTTTATTATTTCCTGAGCAGCTTCTCTTTTAGTTTTTTCCATCAGTATTTCTTGTACGGTCTTTATGGTTTCTATTGTTGGTATCGATGGATAAAGGTCCTTGATGTCGAATGATACGAATTTAGTGTTTTCGTTGATCTTCAACGATTTCATCTTCTCGAATAGGTCCGTTGTGTTTGTAAAAATATATTTATTGCGTAGATCTAGGTTATCCTTCAGCAGCGTCTTTAGGTGCTTGGAGAGTCTGTATCCGGGATCAGACTTGTAATTAATGATAGGTCTCATCGGGGTGCCTAGTTTGTGTGCCTTCGGCAAGGCAATCAACGGAGGGACACTCGGGTTCATAAGTGTTAGTCTATATGGTAGATTATCCTTTATTATGGTTGTGATTTTCTTTATGGTATTCTTTATTGCTGCTTGGTATTCTTCAGTGGGATCTTTTCCCAATTTATTGCACCCTATTTGAGTAATTAATTTTTCAGTTTTCTCTATGTAATCTTTTTTATCGATTAATACGGTGCTATTGCCGTTGTCCGCTTTTGTGGTTATAACATTGTTTGCCCTTAACTTTTCTTTGAGCCCTTTTATGGTTTGGTTTTCGTCCTTCTGCTTCCTAGTTTTCTTGGTCTTTATGTCTTTTTCAATTATGTGCCGACATATGTGTCTGGCGTGCTCCTGCTCTTCAGTTGGAAGCCGTGATATGATAACTTCAGTATCCACGATGGTTTGTTAAAGTTCCCTCTTTCGGTTGTGTCTATCAATGTTGTGTTTGAGGCCTTTTTTTTAATAGTTATGCTTCTTGCTCATTGATGTAAACCTCCGTCAAGTTTACAAATCGGGAATGGAATTTCGGTTCTGCATTTTTCATGATTTTGTTGTTGCTTTGCTTCGTCCTCAAGTTATCTAGTTTCTTGTTCAAACTTTCATATTTCTTCTTCATGAGCTTTTTATTATCGGCTTTTATTTTCTCTATTATTTCCATCAAGGTTTGGATTGGCAGATGCTCCGCTAACTGTAGGTGGATAGCCAATAGCTCCGCATTTGTATGCTCCCTTTTGGCGTGCAAGTTTTTTAATTCACATTGGTTGTAGTTGTTCTCGGCTCCCCTAATAATTTTCTGACCCGCTGGTGTTTTTGATTTCGGTTTCATTTGTGCATACTTTGGTATAATATTCATAGCAATACACTGTTTATTAGGGATGTGCCGGGTATCCGGTAGATATCCGGAATCCGGCCTATCCGGCCGTTTTTTGGTTATCCGGTTATCCGGCCGGATACTGGCTAATATACGGCCGGATTCCGGATATCGATTATAGAAGATTCAATTTAGAAATTTAACCCAGATTTTGTATTTTTGTAATCCAATTTAATAGTATCTGGCATAAATATTTCCTTTATGGTTGTTGTTGTTTCCGACAGGGTGGGTGTATGATGTATTTTGGAACGAATTTCCGGCATCCCTTGTCAAATTTATCGTATATTAAATATTAAAGTAACAAGGATAAACTGAATATACATACATATCTGTGTTCGTATGGAACAGTAGCTTATGTCGAAAGGCTGGCTTTAGTATAATGCGGCATTCGCAGCAAACGATTGCAAATGGCTTACTTAGTTTCAAAACAAATGCTGGATTTCCACTAGGCATAAAATGGGAAAATGGCAAATGATGCCCGACGCATTAACAAATAATCGTGTCATTACATTAAAAAAATAATCATTAAGTTCATTTCCACATAGCATTTTTTTAAATGGCTTACATTTTTTTGTTATTTCAATGCCTAGTGGAAATTCGTCATAAATACATGAATTGGAAGGAACATTTAAATTGATATTAAATTGAAATTAGCAAGAAACCGCGGAATTTTTTTAAGCGTGTTTTGACAGATGATTAGCGATGTCCTATTTGAAGATCAGTGGCTTATTCAAACTTTTATCAGGTGTTGTCAAAATTCATCAATTAAATAGAAAAAATTAAAAGCTTTTGCATGAAATGAAAGGGTGATAATAACCTAACCAAAGCATTGTGAAATGGACCATTTGAAAAAGCATTGGACCAATGAACCAAACGAAAAAAATTGACCAAATTTGGTCCATTTGGACCAAAACGGCAACCGTGGCCACCATGTCTTCCAAGACGTGGCATAAGCATTTCGCTTTTTTCTCGCATGAAGGAACTCCTCCTTTCTTGCCAAGTAGCATTTCAGCAATCCCTTGATTTCTACTACCGCCCATATCTTCCGTTTTCTGCAAAACAATTTTATTAGTTTGTAGTAATAAATATTTAAAAATCCACAATTAATTACTTACGATTTGGCCTCCGTTGCCATTTTTATTTACAGTTATTGACAGTTCACATTTCAACTATTCACAATAGTAAAACTCGTCTAATATCCTCGGAAAAACTTTGCAACATTGAGTTCAGCGAGAAGATGGCGAATTAATGAGGTATACCCAAACTAATGGGAAGCTAAATTCATTTCTTCGGCATTTCCTTTTACTCAATAAACTTACAGGTTTCTACACGAACTTGCAGGAAGTTACAAGAAAAATGATCCCTTACTCCAAAATCCTGGAAATGAGAGCGATTTTTAGAGAGTGGTGTAGAGAATAAAGTTGCAAGATTTTACCCGATGCTTTTTTTATTCCCATACTTTTTGCTATTACTCACTTTTTACTCTGAGAGTAATTTTTCTGTTTGACATTTTTACAGGATTTCATACGAAAAGTATTGGATCAGAGCTATTTTGTCATCCATACATATGTATAAATATATGTATGTATGTTCATCAGTTATCAAAGGACCCAGTTAAAATGATTTCAGTATTTTTAAAATTTTCGCCTTGCTTTTTTATCAAAAGACTACTAAACCTATGCCTAAAACCATGCTACGAATATCAAAACCACTTGCCACAAATGAGTTCATGTATTTGTATGTATGTACATGCAAACTTAAGTATGTGTGCACATAGATACACAGATAGTTTAAAGACGTTCAAATATGACTCAGGAGGTGCTCCGAAATTCACTGAAAAAGAGTCATAAAATGCACCGAATTCATCGGATTTGGAATCCTTTCGGAGTCATTTTTTAGACTCAATTCAGCGTGTCCACGTAGAACGAAAAATCGCTCATTTAGGGCTCCAAAAAGATCTCATTTCTGAGGGAAAAGCTCCGACATAAGAATGTTTATAGCTAAAAAAAAAAGTCTTTTAGGATCATTTTGGTTAGCCGGGCTGTATGCTTGAGCGGAATTTGCTTAATCGGAAATAATAATAATTTGTACTGCATTTCCTCTTGCTCTGCAAATGCCTAAATGTATGCAACCATTTGCAATAGCAATTAAACACATGGTGCCTATAATGAAAATAAAAATTTTCTTCTGCAATACACATGCTAAGCCTTTCGAAATTCCAAAAAGTGCAAACAATATTTCTCAAAAATGTTTCTAAACAATTTTTCTTCGTGTTTATTTGCCCCATATTGTACCCAGCAGCCGCGGTGTTTTTGGTAAAAATAAACGCTTTTTGGTGAGAAATAATCTAAAGATTCATGCCCGAAACCCCCAGAAAGGTCTTTTGGTGGTTTAAATATGTTCGTTTTAATCACTTTTAATTACATGATTTCAGTGTACTTTTCTTTACTGTCGCTTATTTGTATAACGATAAACAAACTTATAGGGCGCCGAAACCACTAAAATCATTGCGCAACTCGAGCTATGTACAAGTCACTATTGTGAAAATTATTAGATACCATCTTTTGTTTGCAAAATTTGAAGCCAAATTCATTTGTGCGGCATTTCTCTCTCTCGTGTTTTCTTTGTGCAATCTTGTATTAGCTCTGATCCAGTACTGAATAAACCTACAGGTTTTTACACGAACCTGCAGGACGTTACAGCAAAATAGATCCCGTACTCCAAAATCATGTAAATGAGAGCGATTTTTGGAGAGTTGTGTAAAGAATGAAGTTGCAAGATTTTACCCTATGCGTTTCTTGTCCTGTAGTTTTTGCTGTTACTCACTTTTTACTCTCACTTCAGAGAGTGATTTTGCTGTTTGGACTTTTTACAGGATTAAGCACGAAAAGTGTTAGATCAGGGCCCAATTGCACCAATGACTTATCATTTATCACTTTACAACTTTTGGATAAGCCTTTTTATTGAAAAGTAAAGTTGATAAGTGTTGCACTTTACTTATCATAAAAAACTTATCAATTAAAAAAAAAATGAATAACTGACATGTTTTTTGGATAAGTCGATTTGATAACCATTGCACAGCCAATTTCTTTTGCTTTTCAAATAGAGAACTTTTCCAATAATGTGCTTAGCTAAAATGATTACCATTTCTCAATGAAAAACGAAAGCTTAGCAAACTCATGTGTGATTTGATAAACATTTATCTTTTTTTTTCTTACTATGTCGCGAGCACAAAGCACAGCCAATATATTAGCTGTCTTAAAAATTATTAAGGAAAAAAGTAAGTCCGTATTGACTATGTATGTTTACATAAATAACAAAATTTTTCTAAATTAAGGATTATTTATTTGGATCTTTCCAAAATAACTCAGTAACAAAAACACAAAAACCACATTGCATTAATTATATGATTTCCGTACCGGTTAACAAATCATAGTTCCATCAATGCTCCCCGCGTCTTAAGGAAATTCACCAATGCACATTAGGTCAAATGATTACTTTTTCTGTGCGAAATTAATAGCAGCTAAAATATTGCATTATTTTAATGTAAAAAGATGGAAAACGTTAAAAGAAGTGTAAAGGCAGTAAATAAAATGTTAAACAGACTTGGCTTTCGTAAAACAGAACTTACTGCTTTTTTGTATGTTCAAATGATGAGTATATGTTTTAGGTATTACTCAAAAACATTGTCCAATTAGCTTGGTTTTGACACAAGTTATTTTCTTATCATACACAACCCGTTCCTCTTTAAAATGAGCTATATAATAAAATAAGTATGGTCACATGTACATAAATGGTTTCTTCTAGCGATTAGTTATGGCATTATCGAAATTCCTAAATTAAAAAAAGAAAAATATTTACTACATGTCTCGCAGATATGTCTGGAGGAGAGATTCCTAAAGCAGTTTGTCTTCATAAATCACTTCATTTTCACTTGAGGTTTCAGTATTTCCAAATTCTCCACCGATATTATCTGTTTATATTCAGAATACAAATGCTGCTTTGTGACACATTTACCGAAAATCGCTGGTAACTTCCTGAAAAGAATACGAATGTTTATATAACTAATTTGTTAAAAGAATTTTCAAAGCTCTATTCACTTTGAGTAAAAAAAATTGGAAATTTCAGTCCGTGAGTTCTCTCAAGGATTTGCCTTTTTGCGAAGGCGCTAGTGTATTTGTAACATAGCCTCGGCTACGCTACAGGAGATGAAATGTAATGCAAATTGAGGCTGCTATTTTTTTTTTGGTATCACATACTTCCATTTTCACTATTTATCACCATTAAAATGGATTATTTATCACCAAAAAATGTTGGAGATATTTTTGGAGATAGCTAAAAATTCGGAAAAAGGTTGGCTATCCTATTTTAGCACTTTAGCGATAGCGAAAGTTAGAATCCGGCTGATGGTCGACACAGTTGGCTTTTTGATTTCGAAAAGAACCTCATCAGCAAGAAACGCAATGTTTTCAGATAAAAATATTTTAGCATCCTTTCCAAATTGTTTCCCATAATTTTCATATTTATTTGATAAATAATTGCAAAAAATACGCGTTTTTTTCTTCTAAGAGTTTCATGGAACTTTCGCAAATATCAGCAGCACCAAATTTTTTTTCAACATGGTTGACAACCGAAAAAGGCTCTTCTTTTTTCGAACATCCAATCAGCCAAACTTCAAACAACTTGCCTTTTGTGATAGCATGATAGCCCACAAAAAACCTTTTTTCATGAAAACGGCTAAAAACGGCAAATTAAGTAAAATAAATTGAACTCATTACATCTTAATTTATCCATTTCCGATTCCATTTTGTTTGCCGAAAGTTAACAAAATTGTAAAAGCTTACATAAAATCATAAATTGAAATAAATCAGAAAAATTTTTGAGGTTATGCAAATAAGTCAGTTTTTTGCAAACAAATGATAAAAAGTCACTTTTTTAAATTGGGACATAGGTTCTCACTTAGATATAGTTTTTTCCCCCAT